TCATAAATGGTGATTGATACAGAAAGATGAATAAAACAATTCAAGCTATCCAGTAAGCCAAAGCACTTACCCTAGCCATGAATAGATATGTGCCATATGTATCTATCAAAATTTTCACAAATGCATGTAACAGAAAATCCAATTCAAACTCATTTGAAAAAAAAAAAAGATTGGTTCAGCTTTAAGCGTCGTGAGCTAGCTCCAAGCTGAAAATTTTTTCATCAGGATCCAGCAAGCTGCCTTTATCTCTTGGCTATCTTTTGTTCTTTGTTAGCTCCATTCTTAAATGATTGTCCTAAGGGGGTATCAGGATGGTTGCAAATAAGTTCAGTCTTAGATTCAGTCTTAAGTTCAGAATTGGAATGCCTTATTTTTCAGTTTTTCAAGGTACATCACTAGGGTTAACTTTGATAATTGTCTTGGTCTCCATTATATGCCTATTTCTCAACCAGTCACTGGAGTAAAGAGGATGGGGTGTTTTAGAAGCCAGGACTGTGCCTCATTCCTTGCAAAATCATGTCATGCTAGTATGGGGAAAATGATTTCCTAGAGACAATTAGAGTACTTTTACTTAAGATGGGGTTGTTAAATTGTAGGCAGGCAAAAACAACAGAATTTTATACATACATTTTTTTAAAAAACATCTATGCACTACTGGATACAAATAAGGTGCATTCCTCACTGGGGAAGAATATGCATTCTTCCAAAAGGGAGGCTTGCCAGCCACCTGACAATGGGTTGCTGCTTTCCAGGCTGTTCTGAGCTCTGCTTTAGCTGCTGATTTGAAAAGTCCCCTCCTGCATAAAAATTACACCTGGCATCCTCACTTGGGAGCATGCAAGAGAATTTTCTTCATCCTTTCTTAAAGATGCAATTGTTTCTGACAGCCAGTGTCATCTGTGGTGACAGATGTCACTTCTGACTCTCATTCACCGCAGACAACTGAGCTCAAGGAGACCGCTAGGCTCTGATGATGGTTTTAACTCTTACCTGGAAAAACCAAAGCACTGAATTGTTTAGGTTCGCGGGATTCTTGTGGTAATATAAGTAGTAGGGTGAGAGTTCTTTGTGCACACAACTCATGTACCTCCCTAGTCACCACTTATCATGTAGTCTTCAAATTATGTGTTCAAATACACTACAATATAAACTCTAAGAGGAACAGATATTGGGCCTTCACCCTTTGTGACTAAAATAGTGCTGGGCACGTAGTAAAAGATAACTATGTAGTAGAAGATAGAGAAATATTTGTTGACTGGCTGATTGAATGACTGAATATAGGAATTTGAAATGAAATTTAGCACTAATTTGGTGAGAGACAGAGAGAGGATGAGAGAGAGAGAGAGAGAGAGAGAGAGAGAGAGGGAGAGAGAATATAACCAAAGCCTGACATTTTACCTGTTGTTCATATGGGAAATAGAGGCACAGTAGTTAGGGAATTTGTATCAATTCCAATAGGTAATTTATACCATGACTGAAATATAGATGTTTTAGCTCTATTTTTGAAATCTCTTAGGGAAATTGCTCAGTCCTCTCAAATATTTCTTTTTAATAGTATTTTCCAATTCATTTACAGCCTAGTTCATGTGACGTATACTCATTACATAATTATTGTTTTTCAGATATGTTTACATTCTCATTTTGATTTTGAACCTCACAACAAGGAAGGTATTATCCCTATCTTCACTCTATATGAAAAGGTGAAGGTTCAGTGGGTGATGTGACTTGTATATAACCAGGAAGAGAAAGGGTGGCACCAAAAATGAAACAGTTCTTCTGATCCCAAGTCTGATGTTTATCTCCACTGGGAAATGATGCCTTGTAGCCTATTGAGTATGTGGGCATCAGCTGCTCCCTTTAAGTCTCAAAGGCTCTTCTGTCTAGTGAACTTCATAACTGACATGCTTATTTACTGAGCTTCGTGGATACATGGTTATAAAACAGTAACAGCCCGGCCCATTATTTTTCACAATTATGACTGCTGTTGGAACTCAGTCTAGACTTTACTGTTGATTTCTCATTCATTTTTTTCAGACATAAATTAATGAAACAGAATAGGAGGCTGAAAGATCACCATATGCACAATTCTCTTTGAATCTTAAGATCTTTGAGTCACAATTTTTCAATGACTGAAAAATAGAAGAGGCATAACGTTTTATTTTGATCAGCTCATCAAAAATAAGAACAAGAGGAAAATAAATTTTGAGCACATAGAGCATCAGCTTTCTTTGTCTAAATACCTAATTTGGAATATTTTTTGCTGATGGGTCAATGCCTGGGTGTCTGACTTCTTAACTGAGGTTATTAGTAAAAGTAATATTTTTAAATTCTCAGCTCCACCATTATGGTATACATATTTTCTTAAATATATATGCTTTAGAATTTTTCATCATGGATGATAGAAATAATGCTGATAGTGTTATGAACAAATAAATATAATGCCATGATGACTCCATTTAGTATTTTTCTTCTAATGATCTCAAAAAAGATTTCCATAATCTATGTTACTTTTCATGTACTTTGCTCATTTCCCAGGTAAGCAAATTGGGTGGGGCATGGAAAGTTTGAGAAATGTTTCAAAAGAAGATATTTAATTAATTCATTTAGCTTTTATTTTAAGTTCAGGGGATACATATGCATGTTTGTTACATAGGTAACCTCATGTTATTTGGATTTGTTGTACAGATTATTTTGTCACCCAGGTATTAAGCCTAGCACCCATTAGTTATTTTTCCTCATCATCTCCCTCCTTCCACCCTCCACCCTCCAGTAGGCCCTAGTGTGTGTTCTTCCCACCCCCATGTGTCCGTGTGCTCTCATCATTTAGCTCCCACTTATAAGTGAGATCATGCTGTATTTGCCTTTCTGTTCCTGCATTAGTTTGCTAAGGAAAAAAGCCTCCAGCTTCATCCATAATCCCACAAAAGGCATTATCGTGTTCTTTTGTACGGCTGCATAGTATTCCATGGCTGTCTTTACCACATTTTCTTTATTCAGTCCACCATTGATGGATATCTAGATTGATTTCATGTCTTTGCTATTGTGAATAGTGTGGCCATGAACATACACATGCATATATCTTTGATAGAATGATTTATATTCCTTTGGGTGTACACCCAGTAATGGGATTACTGGGTCAAATGGTATTTCTGTTTTTAAGTCTTTGAGGAATCACCACAATGTTTTCCAGAGGGGTGAACTAATTTACACTCCTGCCAACAGCGTATAAGCATTCCTTTTTGCCTGGAACCTCACCTGCATCTTTTATTTTTTGACTTTTTAGTAATAGCCATTTTAACTTGTGTAAGACAGTATCTCACTGTGGTTTTGATTTGCATTTCAGTGATGTTGAGTTTTTTTAAATATGCTTATTGGCTGCATGTATGTCAAAAGAAGACATTTTAGATTCAGAGGCATGTCTCTGAATTCTTTATATTCTCTACTATACCAGGCTGCTAGCTTTGGCTATGCATTTTTGGATATGAGAAATAGTCTTAAGTAAGACAATTCAAATAAAGTGAATAGGAAGCTGTCATAAGGATTTTTGTGAAGGTAATAAATGCAATAGGAAAGATTACATGTACTCTCCATGGATAAGATGCTTTGTTTTGTTTCCATGATGCAGATGTTTGGTTTCCATTTACCATCATGAATGAAAATTTTAACATATGTTTAAATAAAACATATTTTTATTAAATAAATAATAAAAATAACGGTATGAATAAAAATAGCTACCATATTGACTGCGTTCCATGTGCCAGTCATGATGCCAAGAACCTTACATAGATTAGTTTATCCTCCTAATAGTCCAGTGAAGCTAGTACATTTGTTATCCCATTATACAGGTGAGAAAAATGGCATTTTTAGTGAATTAAATGACTAGTTCAAGATTACGAGGCTAGCAGGTAAAGGAACTGAGATTATAGAACCACAGATATAAAACCCAGTGCCCTTAGTCACTACCAGAATCCAAAAACATGAGCTGCTGGAGACAAGCTAGATCTGATGAGGCACTTAGTAGCATCTCAGACCTTATTTCTTTTTTGGTCTTTCTTTCTCTCTCATGGACCACACACATGGTCTTCTTTTGCTTTTACTAATTTAATTCTCTTTTCTCACTCCTGACTTGCCTATTCCTTTCCTCTTCCCTGAATGTTTTCTATTCAAACTATGACTTCTTCTTCCTTATGGACTCTGCTTCGTCATAGCTTGGGACTGCCATGACCAATTGCATCTTAATTCTATCACAGAGGATTAAATCTATCTCATAATTTCATGTTTTTCAAAAATCTATTTAAAAATTTAAGTATTAAACAGAAATACTTTAAGTATTAAATAGATTTAAACAATTACATCTATTTAATTGTTCCTGTTGCCAATCATCTCATTTCTTATGAGTTTTAAAATTCAAATTATCTAGAGCAAAAATCCAGTTAGTCCAGCTCCCTTTTGGAGGCCGGCCTGTGTTACTGGGTAGCCTGTATATGTATTGACTGCCTCTACATCCAGTGCCTAACCCTGGTCCACTCCGCTGGAGTTTAGATAGGACTAGGACTAGAGCTGATTTTATGCCTCTCTGGAGTTTGGGTTTTAGTTAGAATTTTTAAAATTAATTTCCCATAACATTTACATGTCTGTAAAACATTATCCTTAACCACTGGGATTTTTTTTTTATTTCAATAGTTTTTAGGGCATAGGTGGTCTTTGGTTACATGGATGAATTCTTTAGTGGTTATTTCTGAGACTTTATTGCACCCATCACCCAAGCAGTGTACACTGTATCCAATATGTAATTTGTTTGTTTTTGGCAGAGCTAGCTGAGGTTTTATTTTGGGGGAAAAAATGTTTTGTAGCTGGAGGCATGTACAAGGAGGGGTGCCCCAGGCAGTGAACTCCTCCGTGGGTGGGCTGAGGGCTAGGGCTGAGTCACAGGTAGGTCTCCGTTCCCTGTGTTCACTCACTGGCTTCGGGGCAGCCGCAGGAGGGGCAGGCGTGGCTCTTCACTTGAGCAGAATGTCAGAGGACTCGGACACAAGCTTCTCATTGCGGGTCTCTATCGTCTGCACAACCACGGCCCTGGCAGAGCTGGTGCGGCGGAAAGAGCTGGAGCCCGCGCCAGAGCCAAAGCTGGAGTCCAGGGGCTCCAGCTGAGGCCGGGGCTTGTGAGGCCCCCACAGGCGAGGTCAGCACACCTGCGTAGGCACTGGTGGTCCTCTTAAGGATATTCAGGTTCTGCATCCCAGACTCCAGCCGGCTCTCCTCGCCCTCCAGCAGCTTCCTGTAGGTGGCGCTCTCGGTGTGCAGAGCTAGGTTGGTGTTCATCAGCTCCTGGTACTCAACGCAGCTGCCAGGCCATGTCCTGCTTGGCCCGCTGCAGGGCGGCCTCCAGATCGGACAGCTTGGCGTTGACATTCTTAACGGCCAGCTCCCTGTGCTGCTCGGCATCCGCGATGGCGGCCCTCAGGGAAGCCCTCTGGCCTTTGAGGCCCTCAATCTGAGCCTGGAGTCGGCTGATGTTCCGGTTCATCTCGGAGATCTCAGTCTTCGTACGCCGCAGGTCATCCCCATGCTGCCCAGCCTGCATCTGCAGCTCCTCATACTTGATCTGGTACATCCTCTCCGCCTCAGCCCGGCTGTGGTTGGCGATCTCCTCATACTGTGCCTTGACCTCAGCAATGATGCTGTCCATGTCCAGGGAGCGGCTGTTGTCCATGGACAGCACCACAGACGTGTCCAAGATCTGGGACTGCAGCTCCCGGATCTCCTCTTCATACAGCAGCCTGAGGAAGTGGATCTCGTCAGTCAGCCCTTCCAGGTGAGACTCCAGCTCCACCTTGTTCATGGCAGCTTCATCCACATCCTTCTTGATGAGGACAAATTCATTCTCCATCTCTGTACGCTTATTGATCTCATCCTCTTACTTGTTCTTGAAGTCCTCCACCAGCCCCTGCATGTTACCAAGCTCCGCCTCCAGCTTCAGCTTCTCCTGGCCCAGAGTCTCCAGCTGCCACCTAAGGTTGTCGATGTAGATCTGGAACATGTTGTCCATGTTGCTTCAAGGTGTCTTCTGCTGCTGCAGGAGGCTCCACTTGGTCTCCAGCATTTTGTTCTGCTGTTCCAGGAACTGCACCTTGTCGATGAAGGAGGCAAACTTGTTGTGACAGTCTTGATCTGCTTCTTCTCCTGGGTGCGCACGGCCTGGATGTTGGGGTCCACCTGCAGCTTAAGGGGTCTCAGCAGGCTCTGGTTTACCATGATGGCAGTGATGCCTCCCATGCCTCTGGCCCCATCATAGCCTCCACCCAGGCCACCCCAGAAGCTGCTGCTACCCACTCAGGAGAAGCTCAAGGAGCTGATGTGGCCACTGGACCCACTCCTATAGAAGCAGCTACTGAAGCCCCTGCAGCCAGAGATGGACACCTTCTAGGACTTCTAGGTCACCCTGATGGACATGGTGGAGGCAGGAGTGGAGGCAGGTGGGCTAAACCAGGCAGAGATTCCAGAATGAGTGGAGAAGCTACTTCCTGGTCCAATGTGTAGCCTTTTATCCATCACCCACCTCCCACGCTTTCCCCTGAAGTCCCAGAAGTCCATTGTATCATTCTTAAGCCTTTGCATCCTTATAACTTACCTCCGACTTAGAACATATATTTAGTTTTTTATTTCCCAGTTACTTCACTTAGAATAATGACCTCCAGCTGCATCCAAGTTGCTGAAGAAGACATTATTTTATTTCTTTTTATGGCTGAGTAGTATTTCATGGTATATATACATTTCTTATATACATGGTGTATATAACATTTTCTTTATCCATTTGGCCAATGGGCACTTAGGTTGGTTTCACATTTTTGTGATTATGAATTGTACTGCTATAAACCTGTGTGTGCATGTGTCTTTTTCATATAATGACAGGAGTGGGACTGCTGAATTGAATGGTAGTTCTACTTTTAGTTCTTTAAGGAATCTCCATACTGTTTTCCACAGTGGCTGTACTAATTCACATTCCCACCAGCAGTGTAAAAGTGTTCCCTTTTCAACAAATCCACGCCAGCATCTATTGTTTTTTCACTTTTTAATTACGGCCATTCTTACAGGAGTAAGGTTGTATCTCATCATGGTTTTAATTTGTGTTTCCCTATCATTAGTGCTGTTGAGCATTTTTTCATATGTTTGTTGGCTATTTACATATCTTATTTTGAAAATGGTCTATTCATTCCTTTGTCCACTTTTTGATAGAATTATTTGTCTTTTTCTTGCTGATTAGTTTGAGTTACCTGTGGATCCTGGATATTAGTCTTTTGTCAGTTGCATAGTTTGTGAATATTTTCTACCACTCCAGGGTTGTCTGTTTACTCTGCTGATTATTTCTTTTGCTGTGCGGAAGCTTTTTAGTTTAATTAGGTCCCATCTATTTATTTTTGTTTTTGTTGCATTTGCTTTTGCAGTCTTAATCACGAATTCTTTGCCTAAGTCATTTCCTAGAATAGTTTTTCCAATGTTATCTTCTAGAATTTTTTTTCCCATTTATTTATTTTATTGCATTTTAGGTTTGGGGGTACATGTGAAGAACATGCAAGATTGTTTCTGGTCTTAGATTTAAGTCTTTTATCCATCTTGAGTTGATTTTTGTATAAGGTGAGGGATAAGGATCCAGTTTCATTCTTCTACATGTGGCTTGCTCAGCTGGGACTTTTTAAGTTGTATATAACATAAATTTTGTGTAAAAGATAATATGTAACATATAGTATAATGTTTTATATATTATATATAGAGAGAGTTTAAAAATAAAGGAAATGTTTATGCTTGATTCAGCCGTGTTACCAAGTAACTTTCTTTTCCTCTAGCCTTATCTTTCCTTTCTATTAGTATTACTCTCAAGTAAAATTCTTCTACATACAGTTCATGAAAACTGAGACCTTATATTTCTTCATGTTCGGGTTTAGCAAGAAGAGGAACTATGCCTCTATTTTTCAAAAAAAATACACAAGTCCTAGCAATAAAACTCAGATTGGGTCTCAAAGGCTCATGTTGGGTATGGACCCATTCTTGATCCAGCCATAGTAGTTGGGTGAGTAAGGAGGCAATGAAATGCTCACATAAGCCAGATTAAAAACGTGTCCCCTGTAGAAGCTGAAGTCGAGATGAAAACAATACTGCATAAACATTTTGGACTCTAAGTAGGATAAGGGAGATTTTTCAGAGGAAAATTGGGGGCTGCCCTCAGAAGAGCACATGAGTCATGGACCCACAGATTTTTTTCATCACAGGTTAGACCTGCTCTGCTGGATTTTGAGCCTGGAAAGGGAGTAAAGACTCGTGCTTCCTATTCTAGGTCGCCGGTAGCCTTATCATTAATGAAATTAGTAGAGATAAAGGAAATTAAACTTTTCCTATGTAAACCTTAGTTTAAGACCTACAGCAAGATCTCCATTTCAGAACTTAGTAATGTCACACTTCCTCAGCTGAAGTGAACAGGTAAGCTAGGTTGGACAACTTTAGGAAAGTCCAGTTTCCTAATCTCTCCAAAAGATGGTTGGATGGGTTTTGCACCTGTTACAGGAAGAAACAAGGTCTTTAAAGGAAGAATTTAAAATCTCACAGAAAATACAGATGGAAAAGCAGGAGGCTGAGGTGTGAGAGGGGGCAGATCATCTGGGAAAAATGGGTTCTTAAAAGTTTTGGTTATATTTCGGATCAGTTATGTGACCTCAGGCAAATTACTTAATAAGTTTGGGCCTCTTCATTTGAAAGATGATGAAATTGAATTTGGTTCTTTTTTTATTGTTTCTATTACTTTGCTGAAATTCCCCATCTGTTCACACATCTTGTTCATCATTTATTCTAGATTTTTTAACCTACATTTTACCATTCTTTAAGATCTCTATGTTATACTGCTAACATTTGGCTTATCTCTGAGTATCTCTCTATTGATTATTTCTTATATTGACCATGGGTCACATGTTCTTTCTTCATCAGTCTCTCTCTCTTTCTCTTTCTCTTTACTGTGTCTTACATACTACATGCAAAAGATCAGCAGAGACATAAGTAAGCAATGTTTGCCTCCAGAAAATGACCTGTTTCTTATTCTGTGAGGCTAACGTGTTGGGAGCTGAGTCAATCTAATCTAGTTTTAGTTTTGATGAAGCATTAGATTCAGTTTACCTGAAAAATTTTAACTTGACAAGGACTTGAGATGTAAGTATGGGTAAGACTTCTGGGATGTCTTTTGTCTCAGAGCCTCTTGCAGCATTTTGAATTTGGGTGCCGTTTAGAAATTTTTATTAATTTCCTACAATATTTACATGTCTCCAAAACATCATCCTTATCAGCTGGGACTTTTTAAGTTGCATATGATAACACATATGTAATATATAGCCATATATATATATAATTGTTTCTTTGCCTAAGCTCAGGTAAGAATGTTGTCAGGGTCATAAGGTACAGGTCCTGCATAAAGATGCCAAAATAGACTGACACACGCTGTCTCTCTCTCTATTTATATATATATAAATAGAAAGATTTATATATATATATATATATAAATAGAGAGAGAGTTGAAAAATAAAAAGAAATGTTTTCAACTCCATTTATTTATAAATATAAATAAATAGATTTATATATATATATTTATATATATATAAATATATATACACACATACACACACACATATATATATGTATATATATAGAGAGAGAGAGAGTTGAAAAATAAAAAGAAATGTTTATGTTTGATTAAAGCATAAATCTTATGGAATTTCTCTAGGTCCTCCTGCCCCACATTCACCCTTTAAGCACCACTGAAGGTTGGAGAGCCAACTTGTTGAAAGCCTGAGATCTTGGATGACTTTCTCCCAGCTCTCCTGCACTGCTTTTATTCATCGGAATAACACTCTCATGCACCCAGAAAAAGCCTCTGGGAAAGAACTGGAGAATGGGTGCCAAATGTCTCTTTGTTTGAGGCTTTTTAGGATTATAATCTCTCATGCTGCTTGTACGCAGGTATTAAACATTTATTAAAAGTTAGGCTAGTTTATCTTTATTTGCATTTTGCTAGATTTTTCTTCCTCCTCCAATTCTTACCAGGGTTGAAGTAACTTTTTTCCTCTGTTAGGAAGATCTTACCACTTTCTGGAATTTAGCTTTTTAGGTTTCCTTGCACCCTCAGCCTTCTATAACTTATCCAATGTATCCTTCTTAGGGTAGAAATCATGGTCTTCTAGGCCCTAATCCAAAGAAGTCCATTCAGGTCATTTTGAATGATAGCTTCTAAATTGTAAAGTCGTTGATAATCTGAATAAACGGTTAGAAACAATGTGGGCATGATATATTTGTATAATCAGAAACGGTACCATAACATCTCTTTTTCACTTTTTGATAGTTGAATAATAGACTCAACAACATAGCAACTACTAGGAAAAAGAGGATGATGTAAGATGAGATACCAACACTTGCTTAAGGCAATCCTAGTCAAGACCCAGCATGGCTGAGTCATAGTTTTGTCCTTGTTGGGTTTTGACTGCTTTATTTTGTTATGATTGTTGTTTCTATTATAAGCATTGTTTTGTTTGAGGAAAATAAAATGTCTTCTTTATATGACAGTTGTCAAGATGGTTATTTTTGCTTTTAGCAGATGCATAGGAGGAAAATCTAAGCTGCATTCCATGAAAAAGAGGGACTTTTGACCAAATATCAAGCAGTTAGGTCATGAGTGGAGCTAGCATTGGTGATGGGTCTCTACACTAGAGATATAGTGGTTTTGGATCTGCTGCTGCATTGTTGCATAGGGAAAAGGGAATAAAACACTATATCCCATAAAAGTGGAAGACAGAGCTTTGACTGATATCTCAGCGTTGAGGCACTGACTCTCTCTTGCTGACTCAAGAATTCGTGCTACTGAGGATCCTAGGTCTTACTTAAGCTCCCAATATTCCCACTGTATTAATTAAATCATCTGCTTCACACAGGCATAAAGAGATTCAACTTACATTTTAGAAGTCTAAACTTTCTAGCACTTTCTCACATTTCTTAATGTTGGCCTTTTATAGGATGAACAATTCAGTCCCCAGAAAGTCTATTAAATCATCTACAAGTACAAATGAATGACATTTAGTGCAAGGTGAGTTTGCAGCAGAATTGATTTTTTTCTCAGCTGGTATCAGTGGAAATCTACTGAATCTCTACTGTGTTCATGAAAAACAGATCATGTTTGACAAATGTGGCTGAATATTTTTATATGTTTCCTCTATTGCCTGATAAGTAGGAGTGAGGGAGGTGGAATTTATCTGAATATTTGTAAAGTACAAGACACTGAGCTCATAGATGGAATGATTTGTGAAACTAGTAATGCTTTCTTTCTTGGGAGACTAGAAGTCATCTAGATCAGTGCTTAGAAATATAGGCTTTGGAGTTACTTAGCTGGGTTCAAGTCCTGATTGTACCTTTTATTTGGGCAAATTTCTATGCTCAAATTTTCTCAGAGTAATAGAGATATCTATTATTTATCTCTTGTTCTTCTGAATAT